ACTATCTGATCTTCTGAAATCTACACACTTCAGGTGCTGTTGGTTCATTATTAAAAAGGTACCTGTAGCAACATAACTGACTATCAGGGAAAAAATACCAGGTTGCTTCAGGTTGCTTCTGCCCAAGCATCTTGTCTATTTCCTCAGGCCACAACAACTAGAACTCATCCAACAATGATGAACCAGATGGCACGCTGGACACTTCCTGTTCTGGAATCCTATCAACTGTGGAATCCAACTCGTGGTGAATCTGAGCAATTTTCTCCTTGAAGTGCTGGGCAAAGTCATCCCAACGGGCAACTGATACTGGCACGAGATATTTATTACTATTTATTTATTTTAGTTATATCCTGTCTCTTTTCCTACAAGGAACCCAAGGTGGCTTATGTAAATACTCTTTCTCCTTTTCATTTTATCATCACAAAAAACCCGTTAGGTAGGTTACACTGACAGTCCATGATGGGCCCAGTCTTATCCAATAAACTTCAGTGTTGGGTGGGGGTTAGAACCCGGATCCCCTGAGTACCAGTCCAATACTATGATACTTCATAACCTATGAAGCAGGGTGCTTGGAGCAGGGTATCAGGTGACCATCAGGGCACGGGCAGGTACATATAGGAAAAGGTGGTCCTTTAGATACTGTAGATTCCGTATACACATGAGGGGCTTTGTAGGTTACATGAAGGGCTTTCACCAGCAATGTGAATCACGCCTGAAAATGGAAGCCAGTGAAGATGGTACAATTCAGGCATAATATGATCATAAGGCACAGTTTCAGTTTCCTAGCTACCATATTTTGTACTAACTGAAATTTCCTGGACATTTTCAAAATCAAACAATGCATTGCATAGTCTAACTAGCAGGTTACTACGATGTGGGTCAGGGAAGGCAGTCCGTCACTACCAAGTGTCAGAATCCCGGAATCTCAATTTGAGAAGAGGGAATAAAACTCGGGTTCGTGGGAAAGACCAAGCATCCAGACCATCTGAGGCTTTATTGTTTTACCCCCAAGGTTCCCGCGGTACACTCACTAATGCAGGCTGCATTACCTGGCAGGCAGAGATGAACTCTGCTGCAAAGCTTCAATACCATTACAGGGCATTTATAGGTACACAGGTACAGGGCAATTGATGACAGAATGCAGAGATTACAATAAGATTCTGAGGTCATCACATACAGAACAGATAAAGAAATGTCAGTCAATCACACTGTGACAATGAGATTAAAATATTTCTAATTGCCTGTATTGACACTTTAGTTGAGTAACTTGAACCCATCTCCAGGTCTGCTCAGACATGCAAATTCAAGCTACCAGAAACTATTCATGCTAAGCTCAGACCCTTATCTCAACTCTAAACATTCTGCATGATCAGGGCACATGAAGCCCTCTGGGCTATCAAAAGATTATTGTAAACTGAATTCCAACAACGACTATTTACAATGGGTATTTGGACTAAAATGGCCTCTCTGCTGTAGCCTACAGCTAAAGGTGAGAGAAAGGAGCGGGGGATGAATGCCATTTTAAACAGTGACAGCTTGGTTTTGAGAAGGAAGACAGGATTTGATCCCACAATGCAAAGGCACACAGGAGTAATGCTTTTCAGACAGGATTTACCCAAATTTTCCAAGCACTAGCCAGGGTCATAACCAACATACCAACACAAGTTAGTAAAATGCACTCGAAGTAACAGAAGGCACTTGGGCCTGTAGTGACAATGTCAGGTCCACAAGCATCTCGCAACAAAGCACACCTGCTCAGGCTCACCCAGATGAACAAAGCACCCGCAGGCCCCTTATCTGGACTGAACTTCACTGTCTGGGTCACCATCAACATGCTCCCAGTATTATTCCGTGAACGTTCTTGCACTTAGTTTTATGAAAAGTTTTCTTACAGTTATAAAGTTAATTGCTATATAGCGGCAATAAATTGTACAATATAAATATTGCATCATTATACAAGCTAGTTCTCAGAATAAACAGGTCACAGGTCTTTGCACGCAACTGAGTCCAACACACAAGGGGATGTTGGAGGAATCTGCAGTGGCTTCAAATCAGTTTAGATATCTGTGAATCCAATTCACAAAATTTAAAAAGGGGGGAGTTGGGGGGTGGATGTGTGTACATGTGCACGAAGACTCATAGACACTTGCATATGTGTGCAGATGAATTCCTGTACATCCCCAAAAATTGTCATTCCATCAATGGAATGGTGTAAACCTTCATCCAGAACAGAACAGACAAGACAAAGCATACTACCTTGGTCACAAAACTGGTCATTTTTGACCCCCAAGCAAGGTGCCTCAGACAAATGCTGCATATGTCCTAGGTGAATGTTTCACCCCAGGAGGCTCCAATCAGCACAATAACTTTCAGGTTTCAGCCAGTACCTGAAGATTTGATCCTTCCATAGGCTCTCCATAACAATGAATCTGCATAACAGTGCTTGGTCTTCACCTATGTAACAATAGTTTAGTCTACAAACTTTAAACCTTCAATGGATTTTAACTCTGTTTCCTGTGTTTTAGCTCCAATGCTTGGCTTTCAAAAGCAACTGAGATGATCTGAATGTACTCTTTTTGCCCATTTATTTTGGACCTTTTGTTTGAGATATAAAAATACTCCACGAAATTATTCTTGTGAAAACTTTGGTGCATTTTTGGCTTCTGACATGCTTTAGTTTATAAGAAGAAACTGTAAAGGGCAAGACACTGAAATTTAAGGAATTTTCATTTACCAGGCAGATTTTGATTTTTTAAAAAGGATTATATTGTAGGTCTACTCGTGTATAAATTGCACAACAGAATGTGAACTGGGGGAAGCTACTTCCCATAACCCATGACATGAGGTTTTACAATGCCTGACAATCCATGAAACACAGGCAAAATCCATTGATCCCAATTGCTCATCCATGGAAGCATGCTATTATTTGCCTAACAAGTGTCTATGGAACTCGGTGGGCGACCGAGTTCAAAGAAGCTGAAGAAGATTATCCACACTTCCAACACCTTTTCCTATAAAATAGGGATGAGGACCTGTGGCCCAGAGGATGTTGCTGGATTCCAACTCCATCTGCCTCAGCCAGCCTGGCCACTGCTATTCCTCACGCTTGCCATGAAGGCTTCTGAAACAAGGAACACGTACCAAATAAGGTAATGACAATATCTGGCAATACCACTAAGCTTTACTTTATGAATCTGAAGCATCAAACAAGTTGAGCAGGGTGAAGAAGGATTATCTTACAACTGAATGGAACAATACTTTGCACATTCAGACGCATGCCATTTGGTAATTTAGAGAGCTTATAAAAACCTGAAAACCCAAACCTCCCACCAAAAGGACCTCCGTCTTATCTACTATCTATTATTCGGAGAATCAGCTCTGCATTACTTCAGAATGGCCTTGTCTATTCTTGCACCCCATCAGGGCAGCACTTTAAAGAGGCCT